AAATCATATCGATCAAAATTTGATGTTTTGAACCAGTCGGTTAAACACTTCAGTTTGTTAAGGCTTAGTTGAAAAGGACTGAACCTAGTAATGGTCTAAAATGACCATGAAAATGTAAAGCGAATCTTGAATGGATGTCCTGTGCTGGAGAGTTTTTGCTTCATCTAGCTTCCGCTAATGTATCTAATCATGACCCTTCGTTTGCATTAGCAATGAAAGGATCATTACTTCTAATTTAGGCCTGGTAGATGTAAAGCAGGAATAAAGGAACTGATCTCTATAGGGAAAAGGAGCAGCTAATTCAGTTTTTTAATATAAATCTCTCATAATGTATTTTCTAGAACTTCTTGGTAGATTCCTTTACACGATGCAGTTATTATCAGGCTCTGTGCTTTTCAAAAACTTGGTGATATTGAATCTTAACAGCATTTTCAACTTCATTAAGAATTCCAATCTTGATAGTTACAGGGTAATTCGAATAATCTTTCAACAATCGACATTGCAACTGGATTTACCGGCGTAGGGACTTATCAGCCGGTGCAAATCGCTATGCAAATTGTGCTTAGCACTTATTCTGGACCACTGTTGATGATGTTTGGTTGGTGGCAATATTTAGCTGGAAAATCTGTTACATCGAATTCACTACCACAGAAGCGAAATGCAGTACTTTTTTGGATATGTTTTGTGTTACAACTGAATATGTCTTTGTGTTTGTTATCTCTTTATATTCAACGTTATCATCTCTTTGTTTGGTCTGTTTTTGCTCCAAAATTTCTTTATGAACTTTCTCATTTTATAGTATTTACAGCAGTTAATATTTTGATTTACGTTTATGACAAGTTTGGCGTATAGGGTCTACATATAGCATTATATATATATAATTAAAAATGATGTTGTGGATAAATCATAAGTTTATCCAGTCTTATCATTAAATGATGTACTTTACTTTTAATACATGAAAGGAGTCGTTGATTACTGATCTTAAGTTGGGCATGTATAGTTATATAGGATATTGTATAGTTATATAGGATATTAATATAGTTATATAAGATATTCCCCTTGCGAAGTGATAATCTATTGCTCTGATTTAAACAGCCATGTTTGTGTTACTTTTTTAACTGCCCAAAATATCATATCCACACCGAATTAATGATCCTGATTTGCACTATACCTTATATCTTATTATACCTTACTCGGATGTATTTAAAACCCATTCGAGCTGGGCCTACATATATAGCTCGATCTAATATATCCCAGCTTTAATACATTAGAAGATTGAAATATAGCTAATTTTGATAGTTTATGTCTGCTTTATGGTAATTGTTGGAGTACCAAAATGCTACATTCATTATTTTCATTGCAAATTTGAATCATACCATAAATCAAATATTTTATCGCTAAATTTTATGAATGGAATCGCAAGCGACAATTTCGGCACCATCAGGAATCTTTTCCATGCGATCATACAGCACCTCCTGCACCGTAGAATAATATAGCAATCAATTTGTGGGTAACATAGTATGTTTTGAAATAGCAGGAATTTGTTGTCGGAGGTTTCAAATTTTTGGTCATGTCAAAAACAGAAGAAAAAGTTTTTAAATGTGCTTTAAATGTTATTCGATCTGTAGAAGTCTCTATGAAATTTAAAGTTCTGCAGGAGTTCTCTCACCTGTATGAATGGGCAAAATCTATGAGTGCCATCAGAGCCATAGAAATTTTGAAACTGTGATCTTGACAGTATTTTGAAATGATGAGCTAATGTACGGGCCTAAACAGTGGTGAAAATGAATAGATTAATTGAATATAACATATCTTAGATAAATATAGAATATAATGCAAAATGTATCATCCATTTAAATTAGCGGGATTTAATAAATGATGCTTAATTAGTACATATCAGGAAATTACGATACCTCTAATCCAAATGCTATCCTGGAAGTACGAATGTATGAAAACATATTGCAATTCATTGGTACCATCGTAAATAATGTATTATTTGAAAAGCAAACCTAAAATTGTCATAATTTCCGTATAATCATTATTGCTACTATTGTCCCACTTGTATACATCGTACACAAGTAATTGTTATATTAATATAAAAGATAACGAATTACTTTTTAGCATTAATTACTTAATATTAGAATGATTATTCTTTGCTACTTATTATTGAAATTTAATAGTCTCATATGTTATATTCAATTAATGTAATTAAGTTCCATCCTGAAACAATATTATTCTCTTGCAGTAAATTAATACCAAATTATCCATCTATTAATTCATTCATTTTTATTTATACAACCAAAAAATATTAATGTATATTTATCAAATAAAACATTAAATAGATATTATTGAATAATATTTACTTGAATAATAATAATGATAATAATTGCAAGCAATATGAATGAAATGATTATGATAATGATAATGACAATAATCAATTAATTAATTCATTTAATAAATATTCTTTCGCTTTATTTTTTCATTTATCAAAAACAATATTTATTATCAACTATTTTCTTTTGATTTAAAATTATGCTAATAAAAGAATAATAACATAATAAAAATTTTTTCATTATTATTGTTTACATTAGTAGAAAGATATCCAAGATTTATTTACACTTTAAAAAATCCCGAACTAATATGCTGACATTTTTCTGCGAGCGTATTAGACATTTAAGATGCATGTGATGAATAGAGGAACCGTTGTTACTAAAAGCATCCTTTCCCTATTTTCATCGTTCATAAAGAGTAATGTGTGATTGA